AAATAACTTTCCTATTCACACGAAAAATTGTCCTTTCAGTAATAACTGTTTGATGAATAAAATGATCATTATATAACTTTACCTAGGAAATAAAAAAACTTATTCTGATAAATATTTCCCAAGAAACATTTGTCGGGTAAATACATTTACTCAGATAAATGATTTACCGAAAAACAAAGGAGACCTTAGTACCAAAAAGATAAGATTAAAAGGATACTGAATTCCCTTTTGATGGGTAATGAAGTAAATTCTAAATGATTGAGGTGGTGGGAATTGAAAGCATCTTGAACCCGAGAAATAACTTCACTGATGGTGGGTTCTTCTCTGTAGCTTTCATTAATTGGTAAGTATTTGCAATTCCCTGTGCCGATGGGAATAACTAATTTGGGGACATAGTTGTAGTACGCTAATAATGGCATTGGAATTTAAAATCAGGTGGGGTTTTCAATTGGTTCGGGTCAGGCCGGAAATGCAAGTCCAGGACCCGATGCCTAGGCATTTATATCAAACAATCAAGGGAATTTTGGAAGGCTGACTAGGTTATTTAGGAAAAGCCCCAAGACCCAAATTCTTCCAGCCTGACTAATAACCGAGTAATGAAAAGTGAAAACATTGCTTGGTGGATACGGGCCAAGGATTTTGGATGTTTGGTAATTCTTATTCCATTTTTGTTTGTTTGTTTGTTTGTTTTTAAATTAAAATTTAGTCAAAATAGTGAATACAAAATTTATCCATAAAATATATTTTTGGAATTATTTCTTTCACAGTATTATCTCAGATCTATGTTATATTATTCTTGACTGATCTCCTAATTGCAGGTTCACCCATATCTAGTGTTGAAATTTAATTAATCATAACTAGAGAATGACCCCGTGCTAAGAACAAGGCATCCAGTTGTATGGGGGTAAGGCAATGGGAATATGGGTTTCCTCAAGGACGGAAGATGGCCTCTACGAAGAAGGGGAAAAGGTCTACGAGGGTCGTGGCAGGTGGAAGATGATGGGTGGTGGTTCTATTCTCGGAAAGACATGAAGTCCCTGGGGATTTAATCTTCATCTTATTTATAAATGTAGAGTTCCAGGTTATCCTGGGTTCAGTCAGAGTAAAAAAGCCTGTTCAAACAGACCTTACAACTAACCTTGTATTGAGAATATCTCTCTACTTTACTTATGTACGTTACTTCATGAGTAAATATATTCCCAATGCAAAATTAATTACAAGAAGCTGTTGGAACTGTGTGAACCTAAGCCTGTTCTGATTGAAGCCAAACTCCTTTTCTCTCCGCAAAAGTCTATAGCTGTGGTAGTGTGAGATTCGCTATTGCATGCACAGATTTTTGTGCATCGGTGTTTGGGTTGGTGGGTGTCTTTTTACACGTTTTTCCTTCTTTATTCTGTGTAAAACTGGTTAAGTTGGGTGATGATGCATCGTAGGCGTTTGTCTCAGTGACTTTGGGGTTCAAGTCCATGCACTTACACAAATAATTATGTTTAATTTAAATAATTAAAAATAATTTAAAATGTAGAAGTTTTGACTCTTTTATTTGAATTAGAAAAATGAATTACAGACATTAATATGGACCTCACATTAAATACTTTTTTCTATGGGTAATTATGTGATTAATTAGTTCAGACTTTTTTTTTTCTGAAATTAAAAAGACACGTGTCAAAGAACCCATTCAACCTAAAAGGTTAAGCGGTTAGATGAAGTTTATGAATAGATTTTTATTCTCTTTTTCAAAAGCTTTGATTTTTCCTCTAATTCGTTGTATTAAAATATTAATCATAGACGGATGAATATCTACAGCATGAAAAGCATGAGAGGACTATATTTTTTCCTTTTTTGGATTACTTTTTTGCCTTTGTTATGACTTAGAGCATGCAGATTGGACACATAAGTAAATGGGCCCACGGAGTATAGGTAATATTATGGAAGGGACCCACAGCGTCGGTGGGCTTGTTATCTGACAAAGAACGTGGCAAGAAATGGGCCATAGAAGCCCACGAGTATTTTGCTTCTTGTAGCCAGATTTTCAGAGGATCCTTACAAAGTTGGTTATGAAATGGAATAGGTAGACCTAAGCTTCGAACTTGTTTCATACCTATTATTTAGCAAATTTGGGTCTTCACCCAAACCCGGAATGAATTTATAGATATGGATTTGGTTGGGCCTTTTCAGGAATCCTGATCAACCAGTTTCATACAAGCCCTATATTTTTTAGGTTAATTTTAGGGTTGATTTGCTAAGAAGTTGTTTATTTGCATAAATGCATTTAACTTTTATTTTTCTTTGTCAGAAAATATTAATTAAGTAAATGAAACAAATTTTTAATGGAATCCTAATTTTCATAATGGTTAATAAAATTTAAGATAGCCGCCCAGTAAATTTTAATTTCATAATAATACTTTGGCCAATTTTCTCTTCCATTTCATGGATAAATGATTCAAGAATAAAACTTATCCGAGAAAGTGGCAAATAAATTTATTAAAAGGAAAGTTCACTTTTCATGGATCATACACTTCCTTACAAAAGAATGGGGAGAAATTAGTTAAAAAACAAACAGACCCTTAATGGTATTCCCTACAATCCAAGTTGGTAGGCAAAGGGTTATACATTGAGGCCTAGATTGCCCTACGCTTGCTTTGCAATTGCAATATGATATGGTTAAAAAAACTCTATTTCATCAAACCAGTCATGTTTGTAGCTCACCACTCGACAAACCCATGTAGTTATTGGTCCACTGAAAATGGGACAGGTGGCAAGTTAATGGTCCCACCACCAAACTACGAGCGTTTTAAGTTGTAATTACTATATTACTATATAATAACAAACAATGTAATTCCCTCATTTCCTGCAACCAAAAATTTTAAATATGGGAATCCAATAGCACATTGGAAATATCTTCACATGAATTTTACATGTACAGATATTCTCATGCTCAGCTTTTTTCTAGAACAAAAACTTTTAACTCCATGACTACATAATGGGGGTAGCCGTTCCTCAAACCCATAACCCTCCATTCCAGGTGCAGGTGGATGTTGAGAATTGAGATTGCATCAGCGCATGCCCCACATATACATCTGTCCATGCATTGGGAACATCCATTGAAGTCCCCACTACAATCAATTAGTGACTTTAGCAACCAACCAATTGGCATCTTATATTGTAGTAATCAAGGTTTTCGAACCATTGTTCATCTAGATGGTTGGACTGTTTGGTTCAGAAATCCTCTAAGCAACTAATTCCGTTTTATCTTAAACCTGATTTTTGGTAAAAAATCATTGAAAAAATTAATAACCCATTAACCCAGGTGGTCGAACCATCAACCCATTCAACTATTTTTTGATCGTTTTTATTTTTAATTTGTTTGTCAGAACAGGCCATCTATTTAAACCAGACAATCGAACTATCAACCCAAAAATCAGTGGCCAAAGCAGTTCAATTTCCAAGTCATTTTTTAAAACATTGGCAGTAACAATTCAGTTACAAAAGGATAATTAAAGTGAACATGGTAAATGATACAACTGGGGCCAAAGATTTTAAAAAGAGAAAAGAAGCTCTACCTCTATCCATCTTTGACTTGTGTATATATCTTGTACAATCCAGTTTTTCGCAATTGTGGCCAAACCACATGATAGTCTATGCTTTATACTTTTAGTAAACATAATTTCTTTGAGAAAGAAAAAAGAAAAAGCTGATTAAGACTTAAGAGCAATAAAGAAAAAAAAAAAGATAAGCCTACCATTGAGTGTACGAATCGAATTATTATTATTATAGAAAAAAAAAATAGGGGAGAACAAAAGAAAAGTCTTGTAAGTCGCTAATGATTTTGATAAAAATGAGGATATTTTAGTAATTATGAACCAAAAACATTTGCGCATGGGCCACCTCTTACCAAAACAGATGTACTATAATTTTTCAGAGATATGGTTCATATGTTAATACAATACAAGCTAGATTCAAACTCTGAAATGAAAGTTGTTTTTTAGATTAACACTTATTACCAAGTGGGAGATAAATTGGTCAATCAGTAAATTGATCATGATTATCGCGTTTATTTACCACTAATTATATTGGATCCCATGATAATCAAGATACAAGAAAGTATCAGTTACCCCCTCCAACAAGTGAATAAGCAACTTACCCATACACCGATAATATTCTCTCCTCCTATCTCTCTCTTTATATTAATAACATGTACTGCACAAGAACACTAAATCATACTTATTTGGGAAGGTTTTACCTAGAAAACACTTTCTTGAATGAACATAGATGGTATTTGGTATCGATCTAGCTTTTCCAATAAATGGTGCCAGCTTAGCATTGCAGATGTATTTAACAAAAAAAAAATGCCTAAGTTATTTGGTTGAACCATTTATCAGATAAATAATTTTCTCAAAAACCACACTAATTTTGATATTTTTCATTTTCAAGATTGATTTTTTACTATTTGGCTTATGTGGCTACTAGTGGTGTAAAATTATACAAAACCTTTATCTTATAAACGTCATTGATACCAAATAACCCCATAATTACCCAACTAACTAAAAACGAATGGGGCATAAAGATTAAGAAATTAACCCATCATATATTTGAAATTTAAAAATTAGAAAAAATAAAAATAATTTCGTATTGATATTTAATCTAACAAAATTCAAAAGATTCCGAGAAAATGTGGACCCTAGTCTCCACTTTGATTGGGAGACAGGGTCTACAACCGGCTATAGCCGATTCCTCATGTTTTTAAAATAATTAAAAAAATTGAAAATAACCATACACCAGAAGATGAAATCCGGTCTCGGCTGGCTGTTAGAGCGTCAGAAATCCGACGTGGCTCTTACATGTCATACACGTCTCTTCTTTTTTTCTGTGGAGGTGGAACGCTTAGCTGTAAATACAAGGACCAATGCCCACTGTGCTGAACGGGAAATTATTACAAGGGATAAACAATGAAAACTTATTATTGTCATCTATGACCAGGAAATCGGCTATAGTCGGTTGTGGACCTCAGTCTCTCCCAATATAAGTGGAGACTCAAGCAGCGATACAGAGATATCAGATCCTGCATCAACTCCCACACTCGTAGTCACAGACGCTTCTAGTCCTAGCTAATCGAGAGTCGAGAGTCGAGGCGTTTAATCTTTCCATTGGGAGAAGGAGATGCCGGTCAGTCGGATCGCAGTTGGAAGGCCCGAGGAGGCGACTCACCCCGACGCCCTGAAGGCCGCGTTGGCTGAGTTCTTCTCCACACTCATCTTCGTCTTCGCCGGCGAGGGTTCCGGCATGGCCTTCAACAAGCTCACCAGCAACGGCTCCGCCACTCCCGCCGGCCTCGTCGCCGCCGCGTTGTCTCACGCTTTCGCCCTTTTCGTCGCCGTCTCCGTCGGCGCCAACATCTCCGGCGGCCACGTCAACCCTGCTGTCACCTTTGGCGCCTTCGTCGGCGGGAACATTACTCTTTTCCGGGGCATCCTCTACTGGATCGCTCAGCTCCTTGGCTCCACCGTTGCATGCCTTCTCCTCAAGTTCGCCACCGGTGGCCTGGTGAGTAGCACTTTCACCGTTTCACGTGAATGATGATAGAGAAGTTAGTTATTTCCGTTTCTTTGACCGTTAAACTGGGCCTGGGCTTGTTTATGGTTGGTGCAGACTACCTCTGCTTTCTCATTGTCATCTGGGGTGACCGTGTGGAACGCGTTCGTGTTCGAGATCGTGATGACGTTCGGGCTTGTGTACACGGTGTACGCGACCGCAGTTGACCCGAAGAAGGGAAGCTTGGGCACGATCGCCCCGATCGCGATCGGGTTCATCGTGGGTGCCAACATCCTGGCGGGTGGGGCATTTGACGGAGCTTCAATGAACCCGGCCGTATCATTCGGACCGGCCTTGGTGAGCTGGAGCTGGAAGAACCACTGGGTGTACTGGGTCGGGCCTCTGATCGGAGGTGGGCTCGCTGGTATTGTGTACGAGTTGTTTTTCATCAACCACTCTCACGAGCAGTTGCCCGCCACCGACTACTAAAAGAAACGAGTATGATGAGAGCGGTTGTGTCGAGGGGTCTTCTTCCTTTTTAGTTTTTACTTTTGTGTGAATTCATGATCAGAATTTGTAATCAATCTTCCATCATCCACCGTCCGATTTCCAAGGAATGCTTTGGTGTGTATCGGACTACCGGGTAGGGAGGGCTGTGCAACTATGTAATGTTGTTTTGGTTGTTTGATTCCATTGCATGATCATCAGAAGTCTGATACTCTCTTCATCTTCTCATTGTTGGCTTTTGTTTTTATGATCCGTCTTTACAAGTTACAACGACTCCACGAGATGTTTACATAACATAAGTCGACTAGTCGAGTTCATATTGGCTCCCTACACATCTCCCGTACGTTGGGAGATGTTCCCAATACACAGCTGGGATTTGCTGTCGGGATGCCGATGTAAGTTCACATGAGTCACGAGTTCGGTAGGTTAATGGTACAAAGGAAAATTTTACGGTATCTGAGACTCTGAGCATCAGAACATGGTAATTGACAGCAAAAGGATGCTGTAATAGCTACAAATCGGAGAAAATCTGGCAAGGACGGACCTATGGCTATGGGGCCTGCCAGAGAAGCAGCATGTGGGTTCCCGCATATTCTGGAATCATGCATTCGTGATCTCTACTTCACATCTGCGCCCCATAGAGCGCGCCCCAAAACTGTCTCACATGCACATCTGAGCGTGCAGAGAGAACATCTCCCGTACTTGTTATTGGGAGATGTTTTCAATATACGGTCTCAGATGCACAGAAAATATCTCCCGTATTTGTCATTGGGAGATGATTTTCAATATTTGGTTGAAATGTGGCCTGTGATGCGTTTTTGGGGAGTATGTGATGGGAGATGTTCTTAATACAGAGTGGGATGTGGCTGTGAGGTTGGTGTGAGGTATATTCTACAAAAAGCAGATTCCAATTTGTTTTTGGGAGAATGACCGATACTCTCAGTGTTAGAATTTGTATGTTTAATGTACAGTCGGGGTAGGTTTCAGTTCGGAATTGATGCTAATTCATGGGCGGGCGTGAGTGCATAGAGTGTGGGTACCAGTCCATTTGAATGTTTATAACCCTGCAGTGTAAATCAGAAATCTGTATTGAACAAATCCATAATTTTCCGTTTGTTTTTTAGGGCTCTGTAGGGCGCGGATGTGAATTACTATTTTAGGTAGTATTTGGTTGTAGGGGTGCAAATGGATTGGATCATGATTCGATCTGATCTGAGATCCAATTCTATTTGGTCGAATTCGAATCACTTTAGTTTGGATCTTCAGATTGGATTGAATAAAAGGATCCAATCAGAAATCAGATCAGATTCGGATCACCCCCTATTCAATTCGAGATATATTATATATTTATAAATATATGTATTATATATATATATAATACATATATAAGTTATTTATTTATAAGTATATTTTTATAAATTTTTTATAAAAAACATGTATATATATGATGAAAATAATTAAAAAATACTTGTATTTTTTTGTTTTTACTTTATTTAAATTAGTATATTTTATTCTTCTTTTAATAATTTATTAATTTTTAAAGAAAACAAGTCGGAACGGATCAAATTCGAAGATCCGACTTATCGAAAGGATTCAAATTCAAATCAAGTCCTATCAGATCCAATTTGATCTTTGGATTGGATCGGATCCAACATAAGCAGTGTTAGATTGGATTCGAATATACCCTGATTCAAATCTGATCCGATCCTTTTGCATCCCTATTTAGTCATTTTATATTGCATTTATCTTAAAAAACGAAAAAAAAAACAAAAAAGAAAACATCAAAACATTTTTTTTTTATGTAAACAAAAAAGAAAACATCAAAAACATTTTTTTTGATGTTTTTGAATAGTGTGAATATTGAAAAAACACCTTGATATTGGGAAATATTGAAAAGAAGCTTTCCCATCATATGCCTCTCAAATAAACCAAGGCAAATGCTTATTTGATAAATAATTTAATTAAAGGATTAAATACTTAAAATATCCTTATGATGTAGAAAATGGACAAAAAGTTATCCTAATGTTTGAAAAATTATTTAAGGCATCCTTAAAGTTTTCTGACAATGAACAAAATCCACCCTACTGTTAGTGTACCGTTATAATCCAATCGTTACAATCCGTTCGCACGTGATGTTATTTGATTTATATAATTATTCTTAATATCCAAACTATCTTTTTACGATAAATTTTGCCCTTCATTATTTTTTAAATTTTCAAACCCATCCTCAATCATGGAAGTTTCTTCCACCACAAATTACCAAACGTTGTAAAGCAAAGGAATTGCCGAAGAATGCAGCATCTCCCTTATGAACCTCTCTCTACAACTGTACAACGAATACCCATCTCTATGATTTTCTGTTTTTTAAAAACTGTGTATCTGTGAATGCAGTTTCCTTTTTTTTAAAACAATTTTCATTTGAACCAACTTTCCCGCTCGAAAGCTACTGATTACTGAATTCGTGTGGCTCCTAATCCTAAACAACCATTTTTTCATGAAACGGAGGTCGTTTCGAAATCTAAGATTATCAGATGAGAACTCTCCAATGTCGAAACACTTTATAATTTAGAGTGTAAAGCCCCTGGTACACACACCGATCTACTTTGATTTCAGCACCTGTTCCTTGTTGAATCAAGTATAATTTAGAGCAGTGCCAACTTTATCTCTCCGGCATTAATTGCAACCCAGAATTATCCACGTAAACATTGAAAAAAGAAGGGAAGCCTTTCTCATCAGATCAAATCGAATATATAATTGGAACTCCTAGCGAGTTTTGGCGACCCTCAAAACTCGCTTGATTGGTGGAGCCGACTAAGGTCTGAAACCAGCTTGGACGTTCCATACATCCTATACATCATCTTCATCATCATCCGAGCGACTTCTCTTTTTCGCTCTTATTTCGCATTTACCAAGCGTATGTCGTCTCGTCACTCGTCAGTCAATTCCATTACATTACATATGGGGTGGGTTTGTGTGAATTTAGGCTATGTTTGGTTTGAAGGAAAGAAAGGGAAAGACAGCATTTTCCTTCAAACCAAACATAGCCTTCGTGTGGACTGAGCTTCAGCCGACCCATTGTTGAGCATCATCTTCTTCTTACCCTGGTTAAACCTCGAGGGGCATCCTAACAAATAAGGAAGACGTTGCAAAGTTTGATGGCACATTGCATGTGCTGTTCACCTCCAAACCCTAATCTTGATAGTGTGCAAGTATCGCTCTGGGTAGATTTCATTTGTGTTTGCCGGAATTTGCAGCAGTCATTGGAGATCTTCGCAGGATTTGTAGCCGTCACCTTCTCATCAGTGAAAAGAACCTTTAGCTCTTTATTTAATAAAAGGGTAATATCATCATTTTACCTCTCCCGTAAATATTTAATGGTTTTGTCCATTGTCGTAAATTCTAGGGGAACTTTAAGTGATTATGCAAACAATAGGGTAACTTTTTGTCTATTTGCTAAACCATAGGCGTAGTTTAAATATTTAACCCTTAATTAAATAATGTTTCAAGAGAAACATTTATGTGACATTAAGCTAGTACCATGTAAGGGAATCAAACATTGCCTTAGTGGGTGTTTAGCACCAGAGTGTTTCACAAGGTTCTGTTTTTGTAGATGTGTCATTTTACACCACATTAGCAATTAAATGGAATTGGAGGAGAATTGCATTTGGCAATATGATTTTTCAAATGCATTTTTGCAATGATTAACTTCGGGATTTGAGAAATGAGAGGTTTCTTGAATCGTTAAATTGATAATTCTTGAGTCATCTTGGTGATCCTGAATCATTGAGATGATGTGATGTGATACATTGAAATTTGAAAAAGCTAATTTCCTCTCTGAGAGTCCATGTTCTGTGCACCCATGGGTGCACTGGATGCATGAACTCGCCAGTCAGAGGTGGTCACATCAGCTTGTGCGAGTAAGTGTAACGTTAATGGGCCTTTACTTGTTAGTTGAAGGTGTCTAGTTCAATCGGATACAAAAGGACAAAAAAAAACTTTTGACCTCCCTCCCATTTTGGTTCTCCTCCACCGAACCCTAGCCTAGCCCATCCACCGACGATTTCACTCCACATCAGCGTCAATGAGTGCAGAAGCCATCGGTAGTGGGAGGAAAATTAACCGGTGGTCATCATCGTATTTTTGGTGCGTCCTCTTCTTCTTTCATATCCTTATATTATTGTTATTTTTGTCAACAGATCTAAGAATTATTGCTCCATGTAAGTGAGATAGTGAGACACGTCTCTCATGATAAAGATAAGATAAGATACAGATACAGTCCAATGAGAAGCCTCAGCCGCTATGGACTCTCCTATGTTGATCTCCTTAGGATGTAAAGCTATTGTATTGTAACTCAAACTCTCAGTAAAAGCTATATATACCTATACTCTCTCAGTTAATATATCAACTCAACATAAGCTCTCTTCAAAACATTCTTTCAGTTTCAATTTTTGTTTCATGGTATCAAAGCCAACAATGGCTGTCAATGGTCAAGGTAGTCTCTCGTCTCAATTTGATGCTGTTGTAGTTTCTCAACAACTAGATACCAATCTACCTTTATTCCTTACCACTTCAATTACCACAATGCCCAATGTCACAGACTATCTACCAATCAAACTTACTAGTGAAAACTACAACATCTGACGAGCCTAGTTCTTTCCCATCCTTAATGCACATGCCCTTATGTGCCTTGTTGATGGTTTGATGGTTTGCCCACCTTCTAAAGTTGCTGATCCCCTGAATCCCTCTATGTTGATTGATAACCCCCTTGCAAATACACGGCGATGCTTTGATCAGTTCGTATTGAGCTGGATCATCTCTTCTTTGTCAGAAAACGTTATAGCCCAGGTTGTTGGACTTCCAACAGCAATAGCGGAATGGCGAGCTCTTGCTAGAATGCATGGGTCACCTTCCCTAGCACGTGTATTTCAACTACGGATCCATCTTCAAACTTTGAAGAAGGGTGAGAGCCCTATGCATGAATATATCCAGAAAGCTAAGTATTTTACTAACTGTCTTGCAACAGTCTCCGAACCTATTTCAAAGAATGATATGATTTTATATCTTCTTGCTGGCCTTGGGCCGGATATGAATCATTTGTAACTTCACTTACTACAAGATTAGATGCAAATTCTCTCACTCTTGAAGATCTGCAAGGACTTATAAGTCATGAAATTTGACTCTAGCACCAACACCAACATTCATCTGGTTTAGATCTAGTTTCTCCCGCAGCCAATATGGCTCATGTTGGTAATTGTAACAGTTCACATCAGTCTGGTGGGTGGGGATTCAATAATGGTGGTCGTGGATCCCAGAACAACAACAATAGGGGTGGATGAGGCCGCAGTTCTAGTGGTCGTGGTCAAAATTTCAACAATCACTTAAACAATGGCGTTATTTGTCAATTGTGCAATCGTCCTGATCATGCTATTCTTACTTTCTGTTGACAATTCGATATTTCTTTTCATGGTGAATAGAATAATGCCCCTGCGCAAGCCTATCATGCCAATACATCATTGCTTCCTACAACTTTTGATCCAAATTGGTATCTTGATTCGGGCGTAACAAATCATATGACACTGGATCTCAGCAACTTGCAATTACAAACGGATTATGGTGGTATAGATCAGGTTCAAGTCGGCAATGGTTCAGGTTTGGCTATTAGTCATGTTCGGCACTCTACTTTTTCTCACAAGAATCATTTGTTTCATCTCAATAGCTTTTTTCATGTTCCTTCTATTTCCAATAATATGTTATTCGTATTTCAGTTTACAAAAGATAATAATTTGGTGTTTGAATTCCATCACTCTTTCTTTGTTGTTAAGGATCCTACCACGAGGAAGGAAGTGCTTCACGGTCCCAATGTTAATGGTCTTTATTGCTTAGCTCCTTCATCAACTAGTTCATTCAACAGTTCCTCTCCTCAACTTTTTAGCAGTGTTTGGGTCAGTTCTTCTCAGTGGCATGCCCGTTTGGGCCATCCAGCTCTTCGCGTGGTTTGTTAAGTTCTTGCTTCACTAGGTGTTGATGCAAATGATGATATGTCTGGTTCTCTTTGCTATTCTTGTCAATGTGCCGAGGGGCATTAGTTACCCTTTTTACCTTCTAAATTTCAGTCTCGTTTTCCTTTTGAATTAGTTATGTCTGATGTATGGGATCCTTCTCCTTACAGTTCAAACAATGGATACCGTTATTATGTTATTTTTATTGATCATTTTTCTTGTTTCACATGGTTATATCCTATTGCTTGCAAGTCAGATGTGAATACCATTTTTCTTCAATTTCAATGCAATGTGGAGAACCTCTTTTATACTAAAATCAAGTATTTTCAAAGCGATTAGGGAGGAGAATTCCGACGCCTCTCCAAACACTTTGCTGAATGTGGTATCTCTCATCGGGTGTCTTGCCCTCACACTTATCAGCAAAAACAGTATGACTGAGCGCAAAAACCGCCACATCACTGAGACTACCTTGTCCCTCCTTAGTCATGCCTCTTTTCCTTTTTGGTTTCGGGATGACGCTGCTCACTGTGTTGTGTACTTAATTAATCGCCCCCCAACTCCTGTGACTAGCAATATCTCTCAATTTGAAAAAATTTTTGGTCGCCCACTTGACTATAGCATTCTTTGAACTTTTAGGTGTGCTTGTTACCCTCTATTAAGGCCTTATAACCATTTTAAATTCCAATACACATATGATCACTATGTGTTTCTTGGTTATAGTGCTATGCACAAAGGCTACAGGTGTTATTTTCCTGCTACAGGCTAGCTGATTGTTTCTCGGCATGTCCAATTTGATGAAGGTTGTTTTTCGTTTGCGGAAGCTTTTCCACTGCCGCCGAGTTCCCTACAACCCATGGGTACCTTTATTTCTGTCCCATCCACTATCGGGTTGTAGTCTTGGTCCATGGGCCCATATACCTCTCCGCAGTTTCTTTTGTTCCGTGTGCAAGTGCTTCACCAACCCCTTCTCATCCCATGCTGCTAGTTACTCCTTATGGGCTCACATCACCTATTACAACCCCAGCCGAGCCCACTCAAGATAGTTCCAATTTTGCTTCATCGCTTCTAGTGTCGCATGAACCTACGACGTCTACTCCTCCATCTCCACCACTTGGGCCCACTGCTGCACCTACTACTGAATCTGATACAGAAACACCTCATCGCAAGATGCTTCCCTTAGAAGATGTTTTACGCCGTGCCCCTATTGATCCCTCGGGTTTTGTTTCCCGACGGACGCGACATCGACTTCCTGAGGCTCTTGTTGCTGAGGTTGCATCAATTGGACCCACATCCTACACCGCTGCTAAGAAGTATCTTGAATGGCAACAAACTATGCAAAGTGAATACGATGCTCTTATTCGAAATGGGACTTGGTCTCTTGTACCTGTTCCTCCTAATGCTAATATTGTCGGATGCAAATGGATCTTCAAACTCAAGCGGAATTCTGATGGCTCTTTGGCCCATTACAAAGCCCGTTTAGTGGCTCGTGGCTTTACCCAGTAGTACGGGCTTGACTACACTGATACGTTTAGTCTGGTCATCAAACCCGTGACTATTCGCAATGTGTTATCCATATCTCTCTCTCTCATAACTGGTCAGTCTAGCAGCTAGACGTCCACAATGCCTTCCTTCATAGTGTTCTAAATGAAGATATTTATATGATGCAACCTCTGGGGTTTGTGGACTCTACTCGGCCCAATTGTGTTTGTAAGCTTCATAAAGCCTTGTACGACCTCAAGCAGTCCCCTCGAGCATGGTTTTTCCGGTTGTATGCTTATCTCTTTGAACTGGGTTTTCACGGGTCCACATGCGATCCCTCTCTCTTTCTCTTTCATGATCGAGGTATCACTTTCTATGTTTTGGTTTATGTCTATGACATCATTGTCACTGGTAATCAGCCTACTTCTGTGAATTCTCTCATTTCCGCTCTTGCTAAGTGCTTTGCCATCAAGGATCTCACCGACCTTCTTCTCTCTCTCTCAGCACCAATATATTATTGATCTACTTCAGAAAGCTAGTCTTGTAGATGCTAAGCCCATGGGCACGCCCCTTGCAGTTAATTCCAAGCTCTCCAAGACTGATGGCATTCCCTTGACAGACCCAACAACTTACCGAAGTATAGTTGGCTCTCTCCAGTACATCACCATTACTAGACTTGATGTAGCCTTCGCAGTCACTAAAATGTGCCAATTTCTCTCTTAGCCGACAACTACACATTGGAGTGCAGTTAAACACATCCTTTAGTATTTGAAGGGGACTCTAACCTATGGTCTCCAACTTCGACCCTCCCACTCCTTCTAGATTCAAACTTTTACTGATGCGGATTGGGTAGGCTGCCCTAATGATCGACGTTCCACTAGTGGCTTTTGCTGTATTTCTTGGGCCGAATTTGATATCGTGGAGTGCGAAGAAGCAACCAACTATTGCTCGTTCTAGTACGGAGGCTGAACTTTGGGATCTAGCTATTGCTGTTACGGAGGTTATTTGGACACAACATTTGCTGAAAGAATTACACCTTTCATCACCTTCTCCACCAATCTTCTGGTGTGATAATCTTGGTGCTTTGTGCCTCAGTGCGAATCCTATGTTCAAAGCTCGTACGAAACATGTGGAAGTTGATTTTCACTTCATCTGTGATCTTGTTCTACAACGGGCACTCTCTGTATGCTACCTTCCCACTTAGAGGTGTAAAGTGGGCCGTGCCCGACCCGCACGACACGACCCGTGGGTGGCCCACGCAAAGTGTTGGCTGTGCTGTGCTGGCCCGTGGACTGTCTTGGGTCGTGCCACCCTCCCGGTGAAAATTTTGGGGACGGCCCGGCATGGCCCATGGCCCAGGCCCGTGCGGGATTTCCAATCACCCAAAGATACAAAAGACAAATATACTATGCCCAAGATAATGTGTCGTTTATGGCTAGCCAGATAAGGTTCCTAGCCTCTAAACATCAAGGTGGGATTTCCCATTGTGGATATATTCATTGGAATTAAAATCCAAAATACATTGAATAAACTCAAGAACTCTTACCTGATTGTAACCTCTTCCTTCTTTGCGTGGTTTAGTATGTTAGCTCAAATATCTTCCTATTAGAAAACCAGGAACTATTACCTGATTGTAACCTCTTCCTTCTTAATCAGTTTTGGGTATTATTCTATTATAGAGAATAGTTAGGTAAAGTGACTGATAATGTTTGCTTATGTTGATATATGTATGCACAGTGAAATTGCCTGCTTGTATGCAAACCCATGGAATTTTATGTTTTTTTTTGACTTAATATTGAACACTAATATTTATGATTATGTGGTTTTCTTCATTTTGGATTGATTTATTATATTGTATATGTATAAGAATTAGTCCCTAGGTGCCTGATAAATCAATGTAAGACTTGTTGCTTTTTGGATGTTTGTTTAGCGCAACTGAGAGGACTTCTCTCAGCTAAAGTTTGTTTAGCACAACTGATAGATTCATTCTATTGTATATGTTTGTTTAGCGCAACTGAGAGAACTTGTTGAATCGTTAAATTAACTTCCGTTAGAGTAACTGTTTTGGAGAAACATCTGATACCTCCGTTTATCTTCTGACGGAAACGATTACAGAGATGATGACAGTGATAGAGGACAAAGAACGTCCAAATCTACGCGGCGAACAAGCAGTAGACGTTAGGAAGCGAAACCCGAAACTGTCAAGTGGACCAGGAGGTGGAGAAGAGGTTGATTTTGCCGCCGAAGTCGAAAGCAGATTCGATCATCACATGGCTTGAATCAAATAAAACTAGTCGAACTAGGAGGTTTTGGACTCGGAAGCCTTAAACCCACAATTTCAGGGTAAACAAATCAAATGCTTACATTCAGGTAAGCATTACAGGCTTACAGCTCAACAAAATGAAACCTAAAACAGGGTAATATGAGTTGCTAAGGGATCTTCAACCAGTGACTACTGACTGCCGGTATGTGCTACTAAGGGATCTTCTATCTGTTGAGAAGAGAAGAGCAAAAATAGCATTGAAAGAAGAAGAAGAAGAATAAGGGATAATGGAATCATTGGAGAGTTCCTGCCGGAATGCTGGAGTTCTTGCCACCGTTCCACAGTCACGGACACCGGTGTGTCTTGAGTGGTCGACGAGATGCTTGGGGTAGGGCTCAGACGAAAACTTTTGGTTTTTCGTCCTTTTGAACCGGACACTTAAGCTAACGGGTAAAGGTCTGTTAACATTGTACTTTGCTCACATAAGCAGACGTGGTCGCCTCTATTTGGTGGGTTCACGCGTCCAACTCCGTTGTCAATTGTCATTATAAGTATATAACAATAATAAGTCAAATCACTTCAAATATCCAATCACTAGCATTCAAAACTTCAAAAAACTATATCGTATGCACCCATATTCGTTCAATTCCCAGCAGGCGCGTGCGCGTGTCACAAATGTACTTTGAACCTATTTTTGTGCTGAACCGTTATTTTTTATTTTTTTTATTAAAAAAAAGGAAATGAAACACTTTTAAATTGGAGAACATCTGCGAAATGAAACACTGTAGTGCCAAACACCTACTTAAGTCAACACTATTCTAGCCCTATATTGTAATAATAAAACAACCAAATCAAGGCCTTTGATGTAATGCTATACAATTCAGATCTCCTATCCACACCTACCCACATAATACTATAATTGTACATTGGAAACATCTATACTTGTACCTTGGTAATGTGTTAAGATGTGTACCCCACAAGGGATGAGCTGTGGGATGCCCCCTTGTGAGGCATAGATGTGAAATCTCCTCATAAATGATGACATGCATATTGAAGATATTCTCAATGTACAGTTATAGCGAGCCTTGGGTAGGTGTGGATAGGATTAACATAGACCCACCTCGAATTACATGTGTATTAATACTATAATCACTGCAAAACATCAAAGCCTTGATTCCCCGTTAACCTTGCGCTACTACAAATGTGGCAGCAAAAGTAAACTCACCAAAAATTAATCAGGCAAACAGTTTGCCTTTGATGGTTTTTGTTTCCATGATTGTGGACGGTGATGGATGCATGTCAAGTCACCTTCACAAAAGTGTCATGTTCTCTACATTGTGCGAAATCATTGCACATTTGTAGGAACAATATGGATGATTTAATTTCCTGAATGAGCCTATTAATATTGTGTTTGGTACTATTTCCACTTGTTACTTTGGATAATACAAATTATATATATATCATAAATGGTTTGAATTATCAATATAATGTTTGGTAGTATTATTGTTGTTTCTTTAAGAAATAATAATAAATTTGGTGTTTTTATTATAAATGTCAATACCCATTTCAGTGCTTATAATTCTTTTAGTGAAAATGATTATATGGCGTGACGTGATAAGTTAATTTTTCACTTTTGTATTGATCAACCTAAAATATTGCAAATAGAAGTGATAATGGTACCGAACACAATCTAAATCTTTGACATGAGGATCATTCACATACATGTAAAAAATGGGACTAACATGGTAGATGTTTTTGTTTTAGAAAACAAAACCGTTCATGTTGTGGAACACCCCCTGAATAGGCCGATTGTATCCTAGTCCTACTTTGGCCTTTTTTTTTTTTTTTTTTCTTTTTGGTGCTACATATCTCTCCCTTAACCCCCAACCTTGGTGGCAACAAGATTTGATCCCAGTTCTCTGCTCTGATGAGTCAAAGATCCTACCAACAGGGCCACCATCGGTTGGTACTTAGGCCTGGTTTTGTTAGGTATCTGGCTTGCCTATTTTAATAAATTCTAGTATGAAACCTTTATTGCGCTTTTTCAAAACAACTCCTTTCAATTTTCAAATCAACAAAGGCTTCTCCCAAACATCTCTCTTCGATCATTTTCCTAAGTCTACCAAGTACCAATCAATGGTGGTTTTATTGATGAGGTCTCTAGCTGATTGTAGCAAAGATTTAAAATCAAATCCTATTGCCACTAGAGTTGGCTGGGAGTTGGGAGTTTATGGGTAATGGGAATGGACTACCTCCCATTGTGTAGCCCCCTGAGGTAATAATGTCATGAACCAAAAAAGCTGTCTCATTTACTCCATGAGGGTTTTATCTTATTATGGTGGAAATTCAATGATGGGTATTACAGAATTCGCATTTCTTTTTCTTTTCATATAATATCCCATGTGAATCTCAGTAAAACCGGCCCTCTTTCCTAATTGTTTTATCTGTTGTCATGTTGAAAAGATAAATTTTAAAATTCTTTGGCATGATGGCAAAAAGTGATATTTTTTGCACTTACGGTTGCAATTCGGGCAGGCGTGATTTGAGCCTGGACTGAACCAGCCCAATTATAATATATATATATATATATATATATATATATATATATATATATATATATATATTTGTGTACATGCATTCATATATACAATGAATATGTTAAATTTTAATGTGTGTTTGTGTGTTGATTGACCAACCTGAACCCTCGAGCTGGATTGATCCAACCCAATTACATACATATTTGCGTACATGCTTTGACACATACAAACATATATGTTAAATTTTAGTGTCTGTGTGCTGATTGACCAACTTGAAACCATCTTAGTAGTGGTGGCAATTGGATGGGTTGGGTTGGGTTTGGTTTGTGTTGAGCTTCAACCCAACCCATTAATGACCTAGTTATATACAATTAAATAGGTTGGATTCAACCCAAACCCGTTTTGGCCCAATATAACCCACCCAAACCCTTTAATCTTATATTTATGTACTTAAAAGCAAAAATTAACTCCCTTTTAACAAATGAGTTGGTCATAGCTTGGTGGTTATGGAAGCTATTGGTTACACAGGTTTTGAGTTTGACCGAACTATTTAGGTTCAAAACCAACTTGAACTATTTAACTGGATTTATCTTTGGGCTAATCACATCAAGAGTGGTCAAACCGTTTGGATTTGAATTGGTTTGGTCAGACTAAACTGGATTGGTTCAACATATGATGGGTTGACTCGGGCCGGTCCATATCGAGTTGTGCAAAGATTCAGGACTAATCCGGTCCAAACTAGGTCAAGGCAACTAGCCTAGGTTGGTCCAGATTCGGGATTGGGTCAGACTGGTGGGGTGGCACAAGGTTTGGGTTGGATAGTCCGGTCCAAATCCGGTCAATGCGATCAATCAAGGCTAATCGAATCCGGGTTGTACTAGACTCGACTTGGACCACCAAACCCAAATGGATTAAACCGAAGTGATTGGGTCTGTTCATATTCAAACTAGGCTGAACCGAGTCGAACTGGTCCGAACTAGGGTAAGATTGATTTAAATTTATGCCAATTTGGGTGAACTATGTTGAATCGAGTCAAAAGTAATTTTAGTTAACAATTAATAGAAAAATAATGTATTAATTATAAATTATTTTACTCAAAAGAAAAAAAATTAAAGAAAAATGACTAAAGAATTCACACTTGTATCATTAATGATTAACCCAATGGTTATTCATAACCCAACCCGACCCAACCCATTTAAATTGACTCAATAGATGATTAACCCATTTCCAACCCGCCAATTAAATGGATGGGTTGGGTGGTGGGTTAGGTACTGGGCGGGTTCAACGGATTGGGTGAGGAATTGCCACCCCTACATCTTAGGCCTGAGCCCAACCAGAGTGTATTAAATTTGAGTGCATTCTGGGCCTGGATTGGACATGTTGGGTTTGACATATGGCTTGCTCGGGGGCTTCAGGCCCAATTATTAAGATTGGGCCTGAGTTGACCCTTAAACCCGGCTGAGCTCGTCTTGTCTTCCATGCTTTTCCCATTAGTAGTGTCAACTGCCAGGTAGCCTCTCTCCATTCTCAAGCCAATGTGGTGGGAATAGATGTAGCATGAAATATTTTTGGTGCCTGAGCAGGGAGGAGCTTCCTTATTTCTTAAGTACTCAGATCTTGTCTTCACTTCTCCGTATTATATAGGCTTCAGTACTAATCTTACTCATGTGAACTGAGAAACATGAGGCAATTGGAAGAAATAAAAGAGAAATTCGAGAAAAAAGATGGGGAGCCACTTTGGGCCATTGCCTGAGGTGCCCAAACCTTAAAGCAGGACCTCGGACGGTCGGACCAAAGTTGTACAAAAATATATAAAACCTGTGCTCATTATCATAATCAAATATAAAATAGTAGAGATCATTCACAGGATTTTCTCAAAACCTAGTCATTGTAAAGTTAACTTACTAGATTGAAATGGGCTTGTGGGATGATATTGGGCCTTTGAGCTCTTTATGTTTGGTCGTTTGGGCTCGGGGTTCACCATGTATTTAATTTCTTGCCTTGATGGCTTGATCGCATATGAACTCCAACACCAATGTGTTAAACCATCGCCAACCCTAACCCTAACCCAGCTGAATGTAGTCAACCCAAATGGATGCGTGCCCGTTTGGGAGGGCTGCAGAACAGTGGGGTCCACATGGACAGCCTATGAGCTATGTTTGGTGCCTGTTTTGGAATGCTGAACTAGATGTTTGGGAATCATGGGTGTTTATTTTTATAAACACTCACGTCAACACCAAGTAGGTATGGTCGTTTTACTACCTGCTTTTTTATGTGTGGTTGGGATGTAGCATTGCAAGAAATATTTTTTGGGGCTTCTTCCAATGGTATCACCATTATGGCACTTAAGTGGTTCGAATAAATAATAAAAATATGAATATAATCCAATATCACTTTGACGATTTTCAACATTTTATAAAAAAAATGCCCATAATACCAAACACCCTTATTCAAGTGTAGTAGGGTTTGATGTTTGCCCCTCTGTACAGAACACACTAGCGTGTTCGCTCATGATTGCCTATGTAGCCCCCTTATTCAACAGGGTGAGCAGCAGATCCGGGCTCAACACAAACAACCCATGAACCATGTCCGATGAAAAATCTGGAAAACCCAAATCGACTATCAGTCAATCATTTGAAGGGTTGTCCACTTCAGCCTCTTTGATTAGCTTATCCGGAGCATTTCAGTGCAAGTGAACCATCTTCGTTGAATTTTCAGCTCAGCCATCCCAAACGTGTGCTTAATGAAAAATATATGAAGAGCCAAATCAACTATGGATCAACCAGTTCAAGGGCTGCTTGTTTCAGCCTCTTTGGATGGCTTACTTGGAGTACCTTGTCAAGATTATCTGGTTTTTTTTTTTTTTTCAAGTTTTTATACTTGTTTGACTACTTAGACAGCTAAGCCAATTGTCAACAAACATAGAGGGTATTTGATACAATGGTGTTGTGTTGCTGTTACATTTTTGGTGGATCGATACAAATTTGCATGAGCCTGAAATGTTTTGATACCAATTTGAGTTGATCAATACAAATTGTTATTTTTACCTAAAAAGCTAAAACATCAAATTTGATGTTTCTCACACACAATGCATTTTTCTAATTGAAATGAACTCATACATGATGTAACAATACATATTCGGTCTCTCAAATTTGTATTAATCAATCTAAAACACAATAAGACGCAATGCCATTGTACCAAACACTCCTATAACTTATTTATGCAGATAAATCAAAACAGCTGAACCAATTTAGCTGTTATCTTCAACTTAGTCCTCCCAAATATGACTGCAAATGGATAGAATTGGATATAGGTAGATCTAGACTTGATTTGTTTGTATTTGAATTGAATTCTGATATTGAGTGGTTTAAATAAATTAACTGAAGATGATCAAAATATTATACAATATTAATAAAATAAATTAAAAAAACTTTCATATTATATTTTATAATCAAAATTAGTTGAAAATTATTTATAAAATTTGAACCTGTGTAAAAATTTAGGAAAAACACAACATTTAAATCAGCGTTACTAATTTGTAGAAAAGAATCAACATCACTAATAAATACAATATAAATTTTAAACCTGATAGAAGTAGATCCATATCGATCCAATTATAAAGCATCAGATTCAGGTCATTCATAATAGAATTGGATTCAAATTCGAATTCAGACAATTAGATATTATTTATAGCCCTATACTCCCAAACAGGCCCTACATCCTACAAAAAAATTTGGCTATTGGGCTATTTGGGTTACTCGTATATGAGGCTATGATTTGGTGGAATTAATAAAATATACATAAGCTCAAGCAGCTATAGCGGAAGCACCTTACATCAGCTTATTTAATTATGCAATTGTCCCCAAATGTGCCTTCCCCCATCCGAGGCTGAAATTGATCCTACTGGTGGAGGTGGCAATAGATTTCTCTTGCCACCTTTTCAACCCAAATGCTTGACACACATCTCTTATTTTTTTAGAAAAAATTGAAGGAATCATCTCTAACCTGTTACGCAGCATGAAGAGATAGATAAGAAGCATGCATGCTTTCAATCAGTGACAATGGATCTTACTACTCTGAGCTTCTTACTTTATTCATTTACATTTTAATATATTTTGGTTGACTTAAGTAGATATAACAATTCCCAATTTCCCACAACTTGTAACAATTCTGGTTACATCCTAATAAAAAAAATACATAAATAAATTGAAATTAAGAAGTTGGATTACGTGCAACCCTTTCCATTCCCTTATTCACGCCGAGAAGAATAAAAATCATTCAATTACATTGAATAAAATGGTCTATTCTCATAATCTGTTTGGTCCAGATAAGAATGGGAATGGGATTTCATTTCCAAGGGAGGGGCAGGGAATGCCCATTCCCTCAAATGGGGAAATGTCATTCTAATATGAATAAGAATGGAATTCTGATTCCACTAAACCAAATAATTGGAATCGGAATATCCCATTCCAGACCCCTATTCCCGTGAACCAAATGAGGCCTTAGATTCTATCCATATTAAATAAATAATATTAATAAGAATTTGGACTGCTAATTCTTATCTATATAGAAAATGCTTTGAAAAGGTCAATGAATTTCCTTCTGGAGCTACAATATTAAGAACTTCTCAAGCTAGCCTGGATCTTGGAAGTATGATACAACCTTTTCACAAGTAGCTAGGTGCTTGTGTAGAAGAAAACTGTTACAACAATGGAAGAAAGGGAAGTTAAGGGGCTAAAGGATTTTTGTATTCGAATCCCTGGTTGAGAAGAGAGCCAGCTACCCATAGCTCCAATGTTGCCAAATTCATCTTCTCCTCACATTCTCTAACCTGTTTTTTTATTGAGATGAAATTAATTATATATCAATTAAAATGATCCCAAGATAATTAATCAAGACAGAAACTAATTAAACAAGATGAATATATGGTCTTCTTTTACTCTCTTACATTGATGGTGAATGTGAGCACGAGTCTCTCAGAAACCGTGGTGCAGTTGGAGCTCTGAACGTCGAAGCTGGTTAGAGACTCAAGGGCCCTGTGAAGAGCTACTGTGACACCTTCTCCCTTGTCACACACCACTCTCACGTAGAAACCTCTTTCCTCAACCTGAAATACATCCATCTACACAAATTCATATAAACCAGAAGTTATTACAGTGTTTGATTCAATACGGAGTTATTTTTCTATTTGCTTTCTGTAAATTAAAGCCTGTAAATATTTCAACATAAACCTGCTGTATCGTCTTGCGAACTGGTTGACGCTTCTTGTCTGCAATCTGGGTTTTGTTTAGGCTACAAACCAAACCTTCAGCTCTCTCTAATCCTTTGAACGATGACTCAAGCCCTGCTATTTCTGCTCTTAGCTTCTTAGCTTGCATTTGCAACTCTTGCATGTATAGCACAGCATCTCCGACGATGGAGGCCTTATCCATCTGCATTTAATTCCAAATGAGAAACCATGCAATTTGAAGATGAATTACTACACACACACACAGAGAGAGAGAGAGTGAGAGAGGGACCTTAGTTATGTTAGGAACCAAGGAACGCAATGCATAGAGCTTCTCCTTCATTCGGCCTCTCCTCTTCCGCTCAGAAATCAATGTTCTCGAGCGATCGGCTGTCCTCTTCTTTGTTGGTGTAGTAGCAGTAGTTGCTGTTGCGGAGGAATCGTCATCATCATCATCATTACCATCGTTCTCGTCATCCCCTACCTCGAGATCCCCGCCAAAAGGAGGCAACGACATGAAAATCGAGTTGGGATCTGAATTACTCATGGAGTTGAGATCAGACATGGCCGCTGCCGCTGCCGGAGTGGTGGAACAGAATTGGCTATCCACCAAGCCATCACTGAACATGAGCTCCGCATCATAATTGGGGTTGAAGCAAGTGATGGGGTCGTCATTTTCTCCTCGAATGAGACTGATGAACTGCTCAAAGTTGCTATCGTCGTCGACAAGATCATGAAAGGCGGCAGAACCACAGAATTGGGGTTGAGGAATTTCAAATCCTTGACTCTCCATTCTTTCTTACTCTGCTCTTCCTTCTCCTAAATGCACGCATAGATCGATGTTAGGAGGTTTACATTAATAGAGAAGAAGGCAAACGCAGATATATCTGGGTTGGTGTGAAAGGAATCAATGACCGGCCGCTAATAAAATAAAAACTTAGAAACTATTTAATGTCTCATCGTGTTCTTAATTAAGCAGCTACCTGATTGAATAGATATATTTATGTAATTTAAGCTTCGGACCCGAAATCTAAGCTCAAATGGATGTCCTGAAGAATTTAGAAAAGCATGGTTGTTAACCCAAAACCTGGAAAAAGGAAAATCGGAGCCAATATTGAAGCTTTAAGTCCAAAGTTTTTTGAGCAAGAAAAAGTGAATGGATTCTGACTTTCTGACTTTGATAATTATATAAACACCACCAACTTTCCCACATACTGTGGAATGAAAGGCTCTAATTTCGTTATTAAATTTGACACTTGATGAGCTGTTCTTATCAGTCACTTTAAATGATAACCCCTTACTATGTGTTTGGTTTGAAAGAAAAAGTAGGGAATGGAAGGGAAATGTAAGGAAGATTATACAAGCTTTGTAAAGGTTTTCTTACTTTTTCCTTCCTTTCCTTACCTTTTCCTTCAAACCAAACATAGCCTTAGGGGGTATTCTCTTTTTGGATTTTGAGAGGGAGAAAAATTGGTCAATGGGATTTTGGTTCCCATTGACCAAGAATCTCATGTTACTTTTTCAGATTTATGTGTGGATCAGGCCGTGAAAGTTTATTTTCCTACGTATCACTTATCTGGTGGGTAAATAACTTTCCCACCTAAGGGGAAGTTACCAACACTTGAATGGGATAAAAATGCCCCTTTTAATAATGGATTTTTATGGCTAATATGGTCATTACCTTATTTAATGAGAAATTAAAGAACATGGATAAATGCACTTACCCGGGCAAGTATTTCCCAGGAAAAACTTACCCAGGTAACTGCATTTATCCGGGTAAGTAACTTACCAAAAAGTAAACAAGGCCTTAGAATAAAAACCTTCTAGGATCGAGTGGGCCGGGCAATGTGGTTCAAGGCATGTTTGATTTAACTTTTATTTTTTTTCCGATAATAAAAATTGTAGAATGGACAAAAATGGATAGAATGAAAAAAAAATAATGTTGCTACGAAACAAATGCTTTTTAATAAAAAAGTGTTTTTTGTGATAAGAATGAAAATAAGTTTTTGAATTTAATTGGTTACAAACATGATAAACATCATATAATCAATCTCCATGTTACTCATTTCCATTCTTCAAAGAAGCTCTATGCTAGTGGTCATAACCGCGGGTTTAGGTTTCCAAACTGCTGGAATCGATTTTTACTGATATTGATATTGGTATAAGTTATCACCACAACACAATAATCAATAAACAGTTGACCTCCAACCATCTGCCAATAAAAAAGTTATGCCGATGGTTTGTATGATGTAGGTTACCTCAATTTGTCATGATCTCATTTTTCATTCATAGAATTGAATAAATAAGAATTGAATGAATAAGAATTGAATAAATGAATAAACAGTTGACAAAAATTTTATAAACAAACACTTTCATATTATTTATTCTTCCATAGAATTGAAACTTGAAACTTAGCATTGAACCAAATATGGCCTCAGTTAACCCGGACTCAACCTGATGTTTGAACCTTGAACCCAGAGTCCCAGACCCAATCGAAGGAATAAGGTTGGTTGAAGGGATTACAATTTTAAGTAACCAAATTCAGACCCATGTGCGCACACAATCAGACACAATACTGGGACATATAATAACATTTTCAGCAAAACAGCCCGCAGCATGCATCTTTCTTCGTTCAATTTCTCATTATCGATCAGACTGACACAGTCATGGAGGCTATTGCGTTGGGTTTTGTTTTTGTCTTGAGAAACTAAATTAGGTCTTATCTGTGCTTTAACTATACACTTACAAGATCAGGACCCACATTACTATATTAATGTATTTGGTTTAGAGCCTGCTATTCACATAGAAAATTAGAAATTGTAAATCAACAAAATCTTTATGTTGGGTTCTTTGTTCAAATAGAAAACTAAATTAATTTTATTTGACAGTAAGTAAAGTATATGAAGTCTCTTCAACAACGATGCTTGGGATCCCATCACTGTTAGGCTGTGTTTGGTTTGATGGAAAATAAGTGAGAAATAAATTTTGAGGGAATGATTGTAAGGATTTTATGAAATTATTATAAGAATTCCCTCAACTTTTTATTTCTCTCTCATTTCCTATTAAATCAAACACAAAATTAGGGTGTGGTTTTGCTACCTAAGTCATTTACCAAGTTTTGTGTGAGTTCCGCGAAGTTTATGGCCGGTTCAAAAAGATGGAGTCATCACCTATTTTTTTAGAGGAAATGGGCATTCATTTTAAGATTTGAAAATTTTGATTAGTCCTTGATGGTGATTTCGTTGTCCATGGAAAAAGCATACAATGAAAGATTTCAAGTTCCAAGGATTGAGAGAGGGAATGTATTAGACATGCATCTCTCGAAGTTGCTATAACAACCCAATATGGGAGTTATTCAGGCTCAATTTCTTTCAGACAACCAATAAACACAACTGCTAGAATTTATGAAATATGGAAAAACATGCTCTCAACTTATTTTGAGACTGATTTTGAGGTGATGTTATCGGGTCTTAGGTACTAATTTCCCTAAGACCCTTGCCTCTCTACCTCTATACTCAGTCTAGAAGAAGTTGGGAATAATGCTTCTCCAAGGTCTTAGAACTTCAAGCAACCCAGAATCAAAACCTGAGCTAGAAGATAACGCGAGAGGCTTACCTCTTGTATGTAACCTTGTCAATGGTGTTCTAAAGTAAAACTGAACAAAAGAGTGGTTAGATGAGCTCTAAAGGGGTTTGAAACCAATGCTTTGATGTTTTGCGCAGATTTCCAATCTCTTGTGTGTGACCTCGAAACAAATTTTCCAGTAGCTAAAAAGACTTCAAACGAAGCTTGAGCGAGTTACGGAGCTAGGTTAAGCATTTTTTGTGTTAAGTCTAGCAAACAAGGAAAACAAATTTGAGGCTTGAGCTTGGCTTTAAGGATTTCGAGATTTCAAATAGAATGAATGTATTATAGAAGTTGGGAAACTGCCCCCCACCCTCACTCTCAAGCTTGAGCTGGGCCTCTATTTATAGAAAAAAAGGAGAAAGGGTAAAAAACTCGTCCATCTATAGTGCTTGGGACTTAACAGTGATTTTTCACACAAATAGGCAAAGATTCTTGAATGAAACATATGCCAAGTCAAGCTTTCCTATTTGGTGAAACATTTTCTTTGATTTGGGGGGTGGTTTTCACAGGTTCTATGCATCCAATGGGAGCTTGGGGCGTGCCTGTCATGACAGTCTCGTATTTGGGGCTATCAATGCCGAATAATGTAAATTTGAACAACTTTAAAATACAATTTTGTCTTTTATTGGTTTTAAGTAGGGATACCTTGGGGGGTTTTTTCGGTCCATTAGGCTCTATTTCATTGGTCCAAGTGTTCTAATGGGTCAATAATGGGTCTAACATCATCCTCACCATTTAGATGTTTCAGGTTGGGACAAACGGCGTGACAATTTAATATGATGTGTTAAAATGGTATCTTTTTGGTTTAGTGGTCAAACGGATAAATCTGGTCATGAAATTTGGCGTGCAGGGTTTTTTGGGTTTTTGAATATAATGGTGATGCTTGATTGGTCAAATAGGGTCAGGATGATTGAGATATATGGCTAACAAGTACAGGTCATTGAGATTTGTCGAAATAGGATCTTGGTTTAATAAATGGTCCAACAAGGGAATTTTGGGATGAAAATTGGTGGGTAAGCACTTTTGATTGTCTTGAATCTGATGGAAGCTTTTGATCTTTGATCAGAGGAGTGGATTAACAGATTTAGTTCAGATCATGGTCTTAGCTTATAGTTTTCCAATCAATGAGAGGGCCCAAAATGGAATCTTACTTTTTCAACGGTCAAAAGAAGGTGTTTGGTCGTGAAATTTGATGTACTGAGTTTTTTGGGGTCTCCGATTACAATGGTAAAGTCCGATTGCTCATGAAGTTGGGTTGATAGATGGTGCGCTTTAATTAATGAGATTTGCTAAAATATGGTCTTGGCTTGATGGGGGGTCAAATGGAGGAATTTTGAACTACAATTTGGTAGGTAGGCATGGATTAGGGTAGGAGTTAAGTGAATGGTTCTGTTATGAGAAATATATGGTCAATCTTGGTAATCGTTCAGGGTCATTAGAATGTAATTTTGATGTTTTTGTGATTGGTTATCATAGATCTGTGTTGGGATTCGCTAGTTGATTGTTTCAGTCATCTTGAGGTGATGGATATATTGGATTTGATTTTGAAGGAGTTGGAATATAAATATCTCATGGATTGGGGCATTAGAAAGAAAGTTGGCATGATGAATGATGGATCTTTGTAGTTTAGTCATGAAAACAAATGTGTAACTAAGTTATAGTTTTCCAAGTCTAGGAATGATGTCTGATCGAACGTTGATATTTATCTCAAGGTTCTTATTTGTCCCATGGGTTGTGCCAAAGGAAGGTATTTTGGGTTTTGGAAAGTCTCAAATTGATCTGGTTGTGTTTCCAAGTTTCTGGGGTCTAAGAGGAGGGTACGAAGACATAGGGTGAAGGGATTCATCAAAAATTGGGTGCTAACACTTTGCCAAGTGGTCAAGGAATCTTTCAAATAACAAATCACCCAAAAGAATCTTGTCTTCCTCTCCCCACCTCGGTGGAAGACATTTAAGCCCAACATATTTCGGTAGCCCAAAGTTTTATATATTCAAGAAATGGGTTCAATAATGATGCCAGAAGACATAATATAAAAAAAAGTATATAACCAATCAACCAATATTATAAAAGTGGTAAACAATCAGATGGGTTTTCATCCAAATTCACGAGGATTTTGATTGATCAAAGCCTTTCTGGTATCATGTCTTTCTGGCATCATATTTTTCTTTAAGGTTGTGTTTGGTTTAAGGGAAAAAGTAGGGAAAGGTAA